ATAAAGGCAAAAGAGATGGAAGGGATTAGATAACAGAAATCTTAACACTGAACAAGTAGTGATAATTGCCAACACATTTAGAAATACACAAAATATACTAATAGTTGAAATATGAAATAGTAGGTCCTCACCAATTTCGATAAGAGTCCTATTGGGCAACACATAACCAGTACTCTCATCTTCTGCACGAGCAACAACGTCCCTCCACTCACAAAGTCCCTTCAGGCCATTCAAGAATTCAGTAAAAACATGTAACTGATGGAAATGAGAAATGGCAGAAAGATCTAAGAAAAACTATAAGAGCAAGGCTAAAAACTGTGGTGAAAAAGAGAAATGGGTTCATATAACAGAAAAGCAGCAAAAGAATTGCTTCTAAACAAGGAACATACAGAAACAACTGCTAGCTGCTGAGCATTCAACCCAGCACTCTGCACCCTGCATTAACATTTCAAAAAAATAAATAAAATCAGCTCAGATAAACAACTAAACATAATACATGTGTCAAAAATGGAAAAGGAGTTGATCACATCTTCACAGGCTGAAAAGTAAAAACAATACCCATAAATGTAAAGATATGACGATTCAGTCAAAAGCTCTTTTTCGTAGAGTTGAGTGCATATATCGTAACTGCGCTTGTAGACCTTCAAAAGATAAAACGTAATAGTTAGTCAGATAGCAGCCATGTTAAAGAGTAGGACAAAAGAAAAATGTGCAATACATTCACATGTGATCAATATAAGCCCATAACCACACAGCAGTTCAGTATATCAGAAGATTAACAAACGTCAACAGATTTGGGGAATAGTACGGCGAAGTTGAAATCAGTAGTTAGAATACAAAATCTTCAAAAGTCCCAAAATTTAGAGAAATCAAACGACCATGGTAAATGATAATAACCTCCTAAAATGACAATTTTTGGAACACAACTACCCAAGTAACAATCCTCAGACCTCAAGGTTTCAACATATTAAACAATATAAAATTTTATTGATTAGAAGTCATCTGTGCATTAATTTGATCACCTTGCTGATGTCTCTCCCATGTACATAGTTTGATGGTGCAATTGTGGACCAAAACACTCCAACAATATTACATTTTCATTTCTCTTTTAAGGGCATAAAACTAATAATGGAAATTATTAAAGTGCTTGCCTCAATAAGAGGAGGATCAGAACTTTCAGATTCAGCAGATAACTTGAGCAACCTTATCCTCATTAGATCATATATATACAACAAATAATGTGTATCTTCTCTGGCATATCTGGGGAGCAAAATTACATTAATAACATTAATGCAGTGTTAGAAGGTAGAAATTTTAGAAGCATCACCTATGACACTATATTTAACAAAGATTATAACACATTCCTAGCAGAACCTTCACTTAAATTGTCTAACAGGTGCTGGCTTCCAGATTAGAATAGTTGAACACTATGACGAAATATCTTAAGACATCAAAATGCATTTGAGTTCATTATCATGGATGAGGGGTTGGATATGTATGTGTTCCAGTAGACTTACAAGAAAACCTAAAGTGAGAAAAGGAAAAGATTAATCTACATTTCAGAAACGCAAATAATCCCCATGAGATTGAACAGAAAAGAAAAATGAATAATAACACGGAGTTGGAGAAGTCATGCAATGGATGCCTGACTGAAAGCAAAGATGCATACTGATTAATAATTCACAGAACAATAGCAACTTTAAAAAACAGATGCTTTAAGCATCAAGAACAGAGGGTAACAAAGTCATGTCAATCTTTCGACCTAACAAATCATATTCCATTTTGCACACAAGCAGATACACATATTCATATAAGTTTTTAAAGTACACCAAAGCAGGGATATAAACTTTAAAATAGGCACGCAAAAATACCATACAGATGAATTTAGCAGCATACATCAAACCACAGATGAGAAAGATGTGCATCTAAACATACCAATACCGACATTTTCAAGTAAAAAATGTAAGGAAACCAATCAAACAAACAGAATTTCCTGTAGATTACATACTTGACCATCTCGCGTGGAAGTGGTCTAATTCTCCAATCAGCATTCTGGTATCTGTAGAAAATAGACTGCTTAGTCTAAAAACTTCTTCTCCCTCACATTTTTTTCTACTAATTCACCTCTATATTACGTAGTGTACATTTGTTCCTTCATTTACTCAAGGAGGAAAAATCGACAAACATAGTAGAGAGCAAGAGATCATACTCTTTATTTGCTGTAACTCCGCAGAAATGACTCAACAGATGTTCCAGGCTGTACCTTTCCATTTTCAATACCCTTGAGGCCTAATAAAAAAGAGGAAGAAATATACTCAACCAAAGAAGCATCATAGTACTTCAAGCACATGTTCCCATGCACAGACATGAAGCGAAAACGGTTTGCTTAAATTTTAAACAAATCCAAAAAAAAGGCAAAGACACAAACATAAATAGGCTAGAAAAGAAACTGCAGCAGAAATGAAACTGCAGCACAGTATCTCCAACACTAATGCTTTGATCATCCTCATAGTTACGTTTCTCTTATAATTTATTACGCAAGGCTAATGAGATGAAAAATTGCAGTCCTCTAAATTAAAAGCCAAAGGTAACTGATAATTGGGCGCCAGAAAGAAATCTGTTGTGCTCTTAACTCATAAATATATGGTAACATCCAGAAATAAATTAGTTGGTCTTTTAAGGAGGCAACAACAAAAACGCATCATAGACATTTTGAATTTAACAAAATAAACAGAAACCACTGATTTAAACATATCAAACTCTAACCAACTACCTGTCCAGTGTCAAACATATTACAGACATAAATCCCAAAGTCTCGTTGAAGCCACACAATATCCCGGTCAGCTCCATGCATTACCTAAATCCAAACAGCATCACAATGTCAAAGGAACAGCTGCAATCAGAACAGAAGGAAATGGTAACAATAATAACAACAATGACAACAACAATAAATAAATACAGAATCTGAAGATTACCTTTCTCTTAGTTGGATCTTTGAATACTTCTCTCAGATATGGACCAATGTGAATGCGAAGTTTCAGAGTGTCAATGATAAAGTCTTCAGTTCTTGTCGATATTTGCATCAAACATGTCAGCCCTTGAAAAGACCTATATTGGTTATGTTCTAAATCAACCTGCAAAATAGTATCACAAACCCCTCAAAAAAATGATTACAGAATTTGACTCAGAAATTGACGCCACTTCGCCCAATTCTTAGTTTCATTCACATATAAATTTAATAACACTGCAAGGACCAGGTCCATTGATCGATGAGGTATTAAGATAGAGAATCAGTCAAGCCCTTCAACAAACGGCTTGGGGATCAGCATTACCTACAGCGAGTGCTCAAACATAAAAATGAACATACTGTTGCACACAGACAGACAATAACCAATAAGTTCCATCAATGTGTATCACCAAATAATAAAAGCAGTAAACTTTACCGCAAACTCATTCACATTACGCAGCGTGATAGCTAACTGCTTCAAATCTTTCACATCCTGCACATATTTGAGTGGGGTAACAGCGATCGGAAGAGGTTTATCAGGCTCAGCTATACTTTCACTCTTATCAACAAAGTCAAGAACAGAGAGCTCCTCCTGTAGAACACAAGAAAAGAAAAAGAATTACAGATGAATTTGTTTTCCAGAGACTTGAAAGTAATACTGAGGGCCCCATGATAAACACTAGGTATGTATAAGCCTCTATCTTTGATCGTTCTAGACTTCTAGTCAACCAATTCCATAGTTGTCTATCAAATGTTTTGATGTAAGGCAAATGTTTTTTTGGGACAAAAATGATTATTTTCTTTACTACGCCACTACAAGAGAGATTGGTAACACAAATTGCCAGTATGTACACGTTTGATTTAGAAAACAACCTCCACCACACAGTTTAACTATAAAGTGAGTCTTATCAATAGGCTAGCATGCAACGGTGGGCGCATTCATTTATAAAAAAAAAAACCGGAACAAAATTAAACAAAACTGAAAGAAATTCAGATTATATTTTCTGTGGATATTTGATCAGAGTACTCTCTTAGTTTTCCCATGAACTCATCTAAGTCAAAACCATTCACCACATCATATACCGAAAAAAGAGAAAAAAAAAAAGCACAAAATTTCAAAAACTGACCAAAGGATGTATGGACCTAGAACCATCCTCACTCCTCTGCAACCAGACATGCTCAAATGGCTGGTTCGTATTATTCACAATGATTTTATACTCGTCCTGTGGCTTTGGTATAGACGGCACATGAAATGGAACTTTCGGCTTCAACTTGGTAGCCACCTTCACTTCCTGAGCCCCTTTCACTTCCACATCTACATTCCCCCCGACACCTCCCGGAGGTTTCTTGTTCTTCTTCCCATAAACCATCTGAAACCCGTTTTCTTCAGTCCCACTGACTCTCACCGTCTTCACGCCACTCTTCTCTTCCTCATTACGCACCCTCCTGAAATCATCCAAGGTCACGTCAAACCTCTCGAAAATCTCGTCATTCACATTCACCAGCCAATCGAGCGCAACGTCATCGTCATCGTCCAAATCGACGTCCTTGTCGACTGGAAGCGGTATTTGCCTCCCGAACAAATCCTCCGACGCCCCAATTTTTTCCAGCAATTTTTTCGACTTCCTGTCGAATTCCTGAACTGGGTGCTTGAATTCTTGAAAATTGTTGTAGAAATGGAAGTCCTTTCGAGAGGGTATGATGCGCGACGAGCCAGATAGCTTTGCCATGGAAGTGGGTAGCGGACCCTTTCTTGATAGATTTCGCAGCACATCGGATCTTCTTTCGATTTCGTCCTCGGATTGATCGATTTCCATCATACGTTTTTACGTTTTTCTGTTTGATTAATTAAAGCTTCGAGCTTGGCACTAGACGGAGGAATTGATTTGCGAGAGCTAGGGTTTTTAGGGTTTTAAACAGAATTGATTTTCTTCTACCTTATTACCACCTCCACTGCACACAGAAGTGAAGAAAAGCACCAGTGGGGTAGTAATGTTGATACACACAACAATGCGTGCCGGCAGGATGAAGATCGTGTATTGTTTAATTAAAATAAAATAAAAGATGATATATTTATTTAAAAGAAGAAAAAAGGAAACAAATTTTAATCCTAGTAAATATCTAAAGGTTCTAAAATTTTTCAAAATAATCAAATATCTAAACTAATTAAGAATAGAATTATAGCATGATTGATATGATGGAAAGGAATTTCGTAGGAATGGAATGAATTGAAGAATGGAATGAAACATGTTTTGTCATTGATGCGTTTGGTTTGCAGAAGGAATAAGACTGGAATGGAATGACATTATCATTTTTTATTATAAATATAAATAAAACTTTTTTAAAAAATAATATACTTTTAATAAATTATATATAAATGTTTTTTAATAATATATAAAAATAAAATAATATATTTTTAATAATATATTTTGAATAATATATAAAAATAGAATAATATATTGTTTAATAATATAAAAAATAATATACTTTTAATAATATATAAAAATAAAATAATATATTTTTAAATTATATATAAAAATTTTTATATAAATGCGTTTTTTAGTTTTATTTTTATATAAGTATTTAATATATCTAATTAAAAAATAAATAAAAGTAAGTTTTCAATTTTTTATTTGAATTTTTTTTTAAATTTTTATTTTAATATATTTTAATCATGTTTAATAATATATATTATATATTTATTTTTTTATTATTATTTGTTAATATTATTTTTTGAAAAATTGATTCCTACATACATGGGAATGAGAAAACCTTCCATTTACTATGGAATGGCTAATCTCATGGATATGGGTTTTGTCATTCCCATTGGAATGGTCATTCCTTCTAAAAAAATATACCAATCGTGGGATAAAGAATGAGTAAGGAAATGATCATTCCATTCCCAAGTCATTCCTTCCTACCAATCATGCCATTAGTATGCGATGCACAGTGAAGAATAATACGATTGTATTGTAATTTAAATATATAAATAACAATAATCATGATGTCGATACCAAATTTTGGCCTCGCCTATTAAAATATTACACGTGAATATATATTAAAATAAAATATTTTAATTTATGACCCAAAATAATACCGCTTGTGATAATATCGAGCTGATATGGGATATTATACGACTAAGAAGCAGACCGGTTCGTCATGTCGGTCAGGCAGGAGATCTGGCCGCGGCGCTGCAGCGAGGAGTGGCGGTACAAGGAGCGGTGCCGCTGCCGACGGAGGAACAGCGTCCTGGCCAACAGGTGGTGATGACTAGGCAGGAGATGCAGCAGATGGTGGCGAACGCGGCGGCACAAGCGGTTCAGCAGGTCACTCAAAGCCTTTCGCGAGTGGCTGCTGGGCCAACGATGGTGGATGAGGACGTGTCGAGCTATGGAGGAGATGGGGCCCTAAGAGATCGTGAGGTGGAGAGGCTCGCGGAGCAGGTGAGGCAGATGCAGGCTAAGATAGATGGTCGACCTGAAAGACGTGCTCGAGGACATCCGTTCTCGAGGGATATATTGGCTGCGCCATTACCTGCGAATTTTAGAGACATGAGCTTGATGTTCGATGGGACCACTGACCCGTCGAAGCATGTAAGGGCGTTTGAGAATTTGGCTATGTTGCATGGTTATTCTGACTCGGTTAGCTGCAAGGGCATTCTTGTCGACCTTGAGGGGAGGCGCGCTCGACTGGTTTCAGCAACTCCCTCATTGATCGATCAAGGACTTTGATGATTTCGCGGAAAAGCTGATGACCCAGTATGCGAGTGCGGTGGCACAGGAAAAGACGTATTTGACGCTGATGGCTATGAGGCAAGGAGAGAAAGAATCATTGCGTAAGTATGTCGCGCGATACAATCAAACTTGTTTGGAGATCCCCACGGCCTCGGACGAGGTAAAAGCTGGAGGGTTGATACAGAGTTTGCGAGCAGGGCCTTGTCGCACATCTTTAGCTAAAACCCCTTCCCGTACGTATGACGATGTGCTAAAAAGGTGTAAGAAGTATATTAATCTGGAGGAAACGGAGGCCGAGTTTGCTAAGTTGGAAGAGTTGGCTAAGCCAGAGCCAAAGAAAGGGAGGGTAAGCTCGCCTCGAAGGGTATCACCGGGTCGGAGATCGCCCAAAAGAGAGGGGCGGGGCAGGATTGATCGAGGGCGAGAAGACAGGTGGAAGGATCGACCAGTACTTGGGGGAAAGCAGTTCCAGCACTTTACGCCCCTTAATGCGAGAATGGGCGAGGTGCTGGTGGCCATTGAGAGGAAGATAGAGGATAGGGATGTGACGTGGCTGAATTCGAGGCGTGAGGGGCCGACACAGCCCAGTCGAGCAAGTATTGCCGTCTTCATAAAGATTATGGGCACAAAACGGAGAAGTGCAGGCACCTCAAGGATGAGATCGAGCGCCTTATCAGGGCGGGGTATCTGAAGGAGTTCGTGTGCGAAGGGAAGGCGAAGGGGAAGGATAAAGGAAAGTGTCGAGAGGACTCGGTGGAGCGGAGTGATCGAGATGATGATGAGGAAGGCGATCCTCGAGATGGAAGGGGTGATCGAGGAGTCAAGAGGAGACGAGGGAGTCAAGATCGAGGAGGTCAGGGAGATCAAGGCCCGGTGAAGAGAGGAACAATTTACATGATCTCGGGGGGACCAACAGATGGGGACTCGAACAATGCAAGGAAAGGTCATGTTCGAGCAAAGAGGAAGAGAGAGGAGGTGGGGATCACTGCTCGAATGCCGGAGATAAGTTTTCGAGCGGAAGATGCAGAGGGAGTAGTGTGCCCCACAATGATGCGTTGGTGATAACGGCAGAGGTGGCTGGTTTCGATGTGAAGAGGGTGTTTATTGATACGGGGAGTTCGGTTGATGTGATGTTTTATGACTGTTTTGTGCAGATAAACAGGGAGCTCAACCTGGACCTGAAGCTGGTGACCACAGCCTTATATGGATTCAACAGAGGCGAGGTGATGCCGATGGGAGAAGTAAGCCTTTCTGTTGCCTTGGGGCAAGGGGTGACGAGGAAGGTGCGAATGGTAAGGTTTGTGGTCGTTGGAGCAGAGTCCTCGTACAACATTATCATGGGAAGGACTAGCTTAAATGCTTTTCAGGCGGTCGTGTCGACGTACCACATGACGATCAAATATCCGGTGGGGGAAAACGTTGGTGAGGTCGCAGGAGATCAGCTTACCTCGAGGAGTTGCTATCAGACCACGGTGAGCAATAATAAGCAGCTCTCGAGGAAGCGAGCGAAGCTGGAGGAGGGAGTACCGAGCCGACCTGGGGGCTCGAGATCGAAAGAAGAGAAGGAAAGAGCGGACAAGGGGAAAGAAAAGGTAGAGATGCAGCCAGGAGGGGAGATTGAGGAGGTCCAAATGGTAGAAGGGTGCGAAGAGAGGAAATTTCGGATAGGTAAGGAGATTGAAGAGCCCATAAGGTCGAAGTTGATCGGGTTGATCAGAGAGTTCGCAGATGTTTTTGCGTATACGGCTGAGGAGTTGACAGGGATAAAGGCGGAGGTGATAGAACACCGTTTGAATATCGACTTAACGGTGAGACCAGTGAAACAAAAAAGGCGACACCATGGCGCGGAAATGGATAAGGTGATCGAGCAGGAGGTCGAGAAGTTGTTAAAGGCGGGCCACGTTAAAGAGATCCAGTTCCCTGAATGGTTGTCGAACACGGTGATGGTGTCTAAGTCTGGGGGAAAGTGGAGGATGTGTATTGATTTCCGAGACTTAAACAAGGCGTGTCCGAAAGACTTGTATCCTTTGCCCAGGATTGATCAGTTGGTCGATTCTACTGCAGGTTGTGAGTTGCTCAGTCTTATGGATGCATCCCAGGGGTATCACCAAATCCCTTTAGCTCGAGATGATCGGAAGAGGGTGAGTTTTGTTACGAGCAGAGGCACTTATTGTTATGTGGTGATGCCTTTCGGTTTAAAGAATGCAGGGGCGACATATCAGCGGTTGGTTAACAAGATTTTTAAGGAACAGCTGGGGAGGAACATGGAGGTGTATGTCGATGATATTTTGGTGAAGAGTAAGGTGGAGGCCGATCACGTGAATGACTTAAAGGAGACGTTCTTGACGTTGCGGAGATATGGCATGAAGCTGAACCCCGCTAAATGCTCTTTTGGGGTAAAGTCGGGAAAGTTCCTGGGGTACATGGTAACGAAGAGAGGGATCGAGGTCAACCCAGAAAAGGTGAAAGCGGTGATCGAGATGAGGCCACCTACAAAAGTGAAGGAGGTACAGATTCTGACGGGCAGGATAGCGGGTTTGAGCCGCTTCATATCCAAGGTGGCGGAAAAGAGTGGGCCCTTGTTTCGAACGTTGCGAAAGAGCTCAAAATTCCAATGGACGGAGGAGGCCCAAAAAGCATTCTGAGGAGGCACCGCAGTATCACGGGTGAGCTCCTTACGCCACGGAATTGGCTCCCAAGGGAAGGCAGGACTAGGCTCGACAAAGGCGAACCTATCTCTCCACCTTGGGACGTTGGTAGGGGTGTCGGAGATGAAGTGAACATCGGCTCGGCCTTTGAGGTAGAGCCCTTGAGGGTGTTTCGAGGGGGCGTAGCAATGGTGGAAGAAATCGAGGTCGAGCCGACCTAGACGGACATGGCAAAGAATGATGAAAATGGTAATGAATCGGATAGCATTGGGAGGAAGCTGGTTCAAGGGCAGATTGAACCACCGGCAGATATCGATCAAATCTTGGCACAATGGAAAGCGGATACCAAGCTTAAACTGCACTTCGAAAAAGGTATAACAACCCTTGGGGGGATTGTCATATGTGTCCTTAGGGCCAGGAGATACGAACGCCCACTTAGTCGGGTGACCAACCTCGTTGATGTCCAACCAGCCGGCGATGAGAGAATGAGAAGAGGGCTGATTCAAGGAAGAAGCCTTGACTAACCTCCTCCTCTTAGTAGGCTTGGAGGGTGCAGCAGTAGGACCTGAGCGGGTCGGTGAAAGAGGAGTGTTGGAAGGTTTCGAGATAGGCGAGGAAGAAACGTTTTGTTTTGGCTTGCTCGATGAGGCAACTTTGGCAAACACGGAGTGTTGGGAGAGGGGAACGTCATCTTCATCACCTCCCGTGGCTACCTCGGCAGC